GAGAGTTCTACCACAAATCAATGGAATTTTCTAAACTGGATTTTGTAGATGTCTCCTCTATGATCAAGCAAACTGCTCTGTAGAGCAACTTTGAACTGCTCAATGGAAATGATATGACTGATGTGGGAGGATGGAATGTAGCCCGTGACTTTAAAAGCAGTTGTTCTTACCTGCTTCTATTAAGAGCTGAGAAAACTAAAGAATTAAAAAAAGGAATGCAGTAATTTTCCTACTACTGAGCAGTTCAGGTCAGATATTAGGACTCTGTGTAAATCTGTTAATTTAATTGAAACTCTACAGCTGCTTCTTTGCCAGAATTCACAAGCCCTATAAACAAGTCCCACAAAGCTCATAGGCTACAGCTAGCAAGTCCACTGCTGTTCAGCTGATGGCTGCTTTCTGATATAATTGTAAAAGCCATGGGCTCTAAATAAAAAGGAAGAAAACAAGAGTTACAAAATTCTCTATAAAGAAGTAAGGATTCTGTTGACATGTCTTAAGAGATTCTACTAAGCTTTTCATTTTTATCACAGAAGAAAATGGTAATGTGGTGGTAAAAGATAACCTTAACTAGAGACAAGATAGAAAAGATATTTAGGAATTGCTGAAGTGAATTATCTTCAATAGACTATATGCTATAGCATCTGCTCTTTGTTGTGAATGCTGCAGAAGTGAGGAATGGGGTAGTAAACAACCCTGCAGCAGAGTGTCCTAGGAGAAACCACTAGAGTAAGGACTGCAGCCTTCTCTTCATGAGTCCAGCCAGGTCTTACTGAGTGATGAGATTCCCCTCTTTATTTTATTATCAACCCCCACTTTTCCCTGGGCTACTACCATGCAGGCTTCCAATTCAGGAATCATTCGGTGTAGCAAGTTAGAGACAGAATCATCCAAAGATGAACAAAGAATCATTCCTTTCTAGAAGTCATGTTTTTGCTTCTCCTGCTATGTTCTTCAGTTTTATTTGCTGAAACCATGTCTGACATCACCTTCAAACACCAAACTGTGAACAAAGGACACCACTCTTTACTTGTCCTGTCAGTGACTACTGCATTTGGCAAGAACAAGGATTTGAGGCACAGGAAGGAAAGGCTTGGGAGCAGATACTCAGATGCCTTTCTCATACCAAAGAATTGAAAGATTTTTATCTTCTGAGCACCAAACTAATTCATTTGAAGTTTCATATTCTGAACAGGGACTGTGCCCTTTTGCAGAACCTAGAGACTTCTTGTCTTCATCCATAGCAACAATGAATGATGAACTGTGTTTCTGCCCCCACTGCCAGCTAGCTTCATATTTCAAGTACCTCCATCAAAGCAGAAAATACTATCAAATAATTATAAAACAATGCAATTTGATGGACCTTATCTTATATCTTGAAAGAAACCATTCAGCTGAAATTGAGAGCCTTATTTTCCTGAAGTAAGAAACTCTTAACAGCGAATGAAATAACACACTGGTTTCAATCCTGTAACTTGTTGTTTGTAAGAGCAATATTAAATTCTAGTTCAGAAAAATTTTAGACAATAGTGGTTCCGATTGCTTCTGTATTTGAAATTCATGAAGAGCTCAGGGAGAGTTTGCTTTTTGACTGTGAGCCATGGTGTGCAGCCACAGTGATGCAATTTGCTGTAGAAAAAGGATTAAATTAATTATATCTACTCGCAATGTGATCTGCAAAGATTGGGTTGATTTACACTTCCCTTTTGGCTCTGATCTTGTCATTGTGACCCTCTGATTCTGTACCTGCAGTGGCCTAGTAAAGGTTGTCATAGAATCCACTTGGCTGCCTGGTAGGTGTCTGTCAGGTGAAGGCAGAGCCCTGCCTTTTCTCCAGCCCTTCACAAGTGCCCATGGACAGCGATACAATCGCACATTGCATTCGCAGACAGAAGAGCAGGATTGTGTTCAGTCCACTAGGAGAGCCAAGCACTCTCATGCTTAAGCATTATGACCAAATAAAATTGCATCAGTGGTTTTGCATCTGCCAAGTCTGCAACAAATCATGATCCCTTAATAGACATTTATCACTGAGTACCCTAAGTGAACATAAAAATTAGTTCTATGTCTCCAAGAATGAAATGCAGAAGGTAAAACACTTTAAAAATGAATAATATTTATTTTGTTTTACTATGTTATTTATTTAAATTACTCTTGCTTTACTGCTGTTTTCAGAGATATCATATACTACCCCACATTTCCTATTATTAAAATGTTTCACTAGTGACTAACATTTGCAAATCAACCACAGAGCAATGGAAGAATGGAAACTTCTTCACCTTTCATGCTTTCAGTTGAGAGCCCCAAAGGTATTTAGGATCCAGTGACTCTGGTGGCCAGCCTTGGCCAGATTGTTCTGAACTGATCTACTTTGTGGAATTTGTTGGGAAACATAAAAATATTATTTGTTGAGTAACAATCAGCTCTTACTCTCTTTTGACGTGTCTAAGTGAGGAAGGTTCATATGTAAAGCAGGTGACACACAAAGCAGAAAGTACAACATAAAACATAGAAAGGAAAGGAAAAAATAAAATAATGCAAGTATGAAAGAAAAATGAATTTGTGTTTCTAGAGAATGATATCACAGTTTTCTGTGACTTTCCTTATAATCCCTAATAGGTTTATAATTCCAAGTCAAGACTTGAAAGAAATCAATGGCAGTAATTCTGCTGATTTCAACATTTCCTTCTTATCAGTACTGTCAGTTTTGCCATTGAACAAAATATTTTTCCTCTCATGGAAAATAGTATTACAAAAGACAAGAGTTAATGTATCAGTTGTGGGATATTTTCCTTGCAGAAATGTGGAGGAACATTGACAGCATTGTGATTTGCTACGTGCTTCAGCACAGCAAAAGATATTGGCCATGAAAGAGTATTTAGAAAAACTAGTCAGAAATGGAATGTAGAGGAGAGGGATCAGTGTATGACAACACTTACATGTAGTGGGACCTGACCTGTCATGGTATCACTTTGTAGCAAGAACAAGAAATAAACCTGAATTTAAGACAAGAGTTGCCATGTGTGACTTTCAGAGCACAGTGTGAGCCTTTTACATCTCCACTGTTGCCAGGCCTAAACGTTTAGAACAAGACCTTGGTGGGAAAAAGGGTTTATAGAAGTCATTTGCCATTTGAACTGCCTGGCTTGATAGAGTTGGATGGGGCAAATGCAGCATAACACTTGTAGCCTGCTGGTGGCTTCCAGCCATTGAGGTTTACAGTGCAATTTTACTGCATTGTTTTCAATGAGAAGAGTATATCTAAGGGAAAAAAGGGCACAGTAAAAGAGTGATCTTGCACAAAAGCTTGTGTGCTATTTGACAGCAAGCTCTTACAGGGGTTTCAGCAGCCCTTGGCCCGTGCTGCATGCTTTTTTGTGTTTGCCCAGGGAGCAGCAGTCAGGGCTCTGCCACTGACAGCACCTCCTAAGGCAGATGAGCACACAGGTGTGTGCGTGGGTGGGGAGTGTGTAACTAAGGAAGAAGAATAACAAATGGAGAGATAAACCACACAAAGGGACTATGTTTGAGCTTTTTTTTATGAAAACTCAGAGACAGAAAGAGCTGTAAAAGTTACTTGCTGTTCCACATAATGAGCTAACTGGTACAAGAGTCTGCAAAGGCCTAGGACTTCTCCATGTTTCTTAAGGACAAAAGAATGTCTTTCATTTTGGTAGAAGAGAAGTTCTTGTCTGAAGGCATATGAGTGACTTTCATTCCCTGACATTTCTTATGTGAAATTCTGTACTGTGTTAAAATGCAAAAATTCTGTACTGTGTCTTTGAAGCAAAAATTTCAGTCACAGGTCATTCTGTGCGTAAGGTTATATTCCCTTGGTTATTTAGATCTGTATATTATACATTCGTAAGCTTTTTACAAGCTCATTTGTGAGTTTCATGATTAAAAATTCTGTTTATGTTTTTTCGCTTGTCAAGACATAATCAGCTTTCTTGCTGTGTCTATGTGATATCTTCAATAATCAGTTAGGTTTATGGGGAAAGCAGGAGCAGCAATGCTGTACAAAGTGCTTCTTGGGGATGAGCTGAAGCTGTGAACTCCGTTTTCATTCTGCTCCGCTTAAAATCTGAAAGCTGTGGGCTGCTGCCAAGGGAAGTTTCTCTAACAGCCTGTACTCTGTTAGCTAACTAGCTCCCCCTCTTGAAACTCCAGAAATGCTGGCAGGAGTCAGGGATGTAAAGGAAAGTGAAATGAAATCCATCGGTGTTGGGCTTCTCTCATTTTTATAACCGTTGTGGGGTTTTTTACTATATGGAACTGACAGCTGGGGAACGTCCTTTTCTTGCTGCTGCTGGCTTCTGAACTGACCTTGTAAGAATGCAAAAGGGCTTTTGGTGTCTGCTGCAAAGCAATTCAAGGCTGCAGAGGTCACCCTACACTGCCAGTGTCCGGTGGAGAAAGGCAGCAGAGTTCCCCAGCTGAAGGGCACCGGAGAAGGGTGGCGGAGGACGAGGATGGCTGGGGGACAGGATGGTTCAGCTGCTCCCCGCAGCAGCCCCAGCTCGGAACTCCAGCAAACACCAGGGCAGGAAGGGAAGAGCCCATCTGTGCAGGACACAAACATCAGCTGTGCCTCCCGGGCCATTGGTGCCTGACAATGAGCCCAGCTGACGCGGGGAGGTGGCAGCTGTGCTGCTGCACACACGCCTAGCAGCACAGTAGGTAACCACAGGCCGGATTTTCTGGCTGCTTATTTCCTCTTTTTTTTTTTATTTTTTATTTTTTTTCTAGAACAGATATTAGGTATATGAAGAGATTTTGTTCTAGGACATCAAATGGAGTGGTAAGTGAGTCTGCAGCTGAGAAAAAGGTGTCTTTGGCAAAGACCAGGCCTCATTACATGGAACTCTTTCCACATGGGTTTTACAGAGAGCTGTTCTTGCCTGAATGTTCCCATTTGGAAAAAGTTAATATGTCAGGAGGGATAAAGGGCAGGAGAAGGGAAGTGTTCTTGCTTCGTAGAGGGGGGTAACTGTGATATGTAGCTGCACTCAGACTTCATACAACACTATTCAAGCATCCAAAGACCTACTAGATAAAACATTTGCCATCCCTGCCATCCCTGAAAGAATGAATGTTAGAACTTAGGACACTTCATTTCCAGGTTTTTCCCAGCAATGGGCTATAAATCCAGACCCATTTTATTTCTTCTTCCTCTCTCCAGTACCGTGAATCTTTCATGCCTTTGGACAGTGGCCCACTTTCAACAGGAAGGACAGAGCAGGACCAGTGTATAATCAGGTGAGATTTATTCTGGGTAGGGACAGAAGTAATTTTAAATCTCTAGATAGAAGAGAGTGACCAGAGAGTGATCCAGACCAATTTTCTGGATGAAAATCAATTGTTTAAGATTGAGAGGACTAGCACTAGCTTGATTTTGGGCTAAATATGATGCTTTGTGTCATTTTCAAAGGTGTGGTTGGATCAGATAGCAGAGCTGTTTCGGTATTCCGGCTGCCTGTGTGTCACTGCTGCCATTCAGTAAAACAAAGTGGAGCAGTCATCACAGCTAGGCATGCAGCAGAGAGTTTATACCCTTCTCATGCAAACAATGTGGCATTTACCCACTTCTCATATAATCCAAATGGCTGAAGTTTTATAGTTCTTAAAGTCAGTCTTAAACCTTTGTAATCAGCCTAAATACATCCTTGGAGATACATCGTAGTTGTCTAGGTCGCTCGAATTCTATGTAAATCCACTGTAAATCTTAATCACAAAAATATCTTTCAATATCTTATGACACCTGTCCCAAGTCATCCTGAAAATCTCTAAGAACTGAAAACTAATTGATCCTATTCTTCACAAGAGTTGTAACCACAATATGGTGTTTCACTTCAATTCAGTAAGCAGCACTTTTTAAATAAATGGCAAACACAGGATTTCAATTTTTGGATATCCATTGTAGGACACTCTAAGTGCCACCTGGTTCTTCAGATGAATTACACCTTCAAGACCTCTGCAACTTCTCTCTGGTAAGTCTGCACTGTAAACTGTAAGCACAGACCCAGTTACAACTATTTTTCTTTTTAAAATCTCCCATCTCAATGATGGAGAAAAACATGCATAAATACTTACAGAATTAAAGAATGTGTGTCGAGGGTACACTCAAATCTGCTGAAATACTTTTAGTGCTCAGGTGAACTGTAAAATCAGTAGAAAACAAAAAAAAGTATTTCAGATTTTTAGTCTCCAAATTGTATTTCTACTTACCTACATACAAAGAAAATTATGAAGGAGTCAGGTTGGGGTAAATTTTGTTTAACCCCTTCCCAAGTCTTCCAACAATGCATTATTTGCCCAAAACATAATAACTATTTTAATTTCAAATAGTAATTATCAAAACACCAAGAAAAGGCTGGGTTCTGTTTTCCATCCAGTCTTTTCATATTTTATTTTAGTCCTCTGAAACAGCACTGAAAAAGCATTCTGCATGCTTTTTAAAGTAGAACTTTAGGATTCTGCTTTTCAGCTGATAATCTTAGAGAAACTCTGCCCATGTTTATCTATCGAAAATCTGAACTTCAAACGGTTTCACAAAAATCAAAGCAAAACAAAAACCCTTGCTATTATGCATAATAACCCAAATTATGCACATAGGAAACTTGCCATGGAGTGTGTTAGTATGTCTGAAAATACAGTGTATTATTCCTGATGTATATTTTATAAACTGCACAAATACCAGTACATATTAAATGCCTGGGTCTGCATGCAGTTGTGTTCTTTAATGCTCATCATATTTAAAGCTGGGGGTCCTCTAGGCAAAAAGCGACTGTCTGGTTTGGAGGTGAAGCAAAGAAGGTCATCTACATTAAATGAACTAGACTGGGCTCAGTAATAGTGAGCCATTCTCAAATACTAATGACCATCTGGATTACAGATGCAGTGGCCAGATTGTCTGTTGTGTCCACCAAGTGAGTTGTCTTACCCTGGGAAAAAACTGTCATCTGTCTGTCTTGCCCTGTAGACATGAGCTTTCTTCCAACCTGTCCACATGGATTTACTGGTGGCAAGGTCATCCCGTTCTCTGGAACGTCACTCACTTGTATTTGCTGGCTGCTTAGCAGCTGCCAAATTTTTTGGAACAGAACAGAATGGCAAGGGGCTGGAAATAAGATAGTAAAACTGAAATATTTTCTCTTTCTTTCTGGTGCACATTCACCAGTACTTAATGGAAACAATACCTATTTATTAGCCAAATAAAACCTCTTTTCTCAGCTCTGTTTGTTAAATAGATCGTCGGTTTTAGAGTGTTTCTCTTCTCAGCTCCCATGCTGTGAAACTCCTTTCCTTTTGTTAAGCAGAGTAAGCAAATCATTGCAAGACCTAAAATCTTGTTTAAAAATGCACCAATTTGATTTGGCATTTAATTAACACATTTTTGTTTGGTATTATTACTGTGTGAGTTTTGACTCTACTTTCAAATTTCCTTTTCATTTTATTAATGCAATTATGCTTTGCTTTTAAGGGTGCCCAGAGGATCCCAAATCTATATATTTTTACTCTGGTTTTGTGGGTTTAGCATCACACTATTGTTTATTCAGTAGAGGATTGTAAATATTTTTCTAAGTACAAAATTTAGAATTTAATCATTCCTGAAGACTTTATACTGCTGAATGTTATCCTTGTGCTTGAAATACACAATTCTGAAGAAGATCTGCAAATTATTGCAGGTAGTGAATACATCAAGCACTTGCATTTATTTTCAAAGCTTCTTTATATCCTCGTGAGCACATGGACAATTAAAACCTGAAAGGGGTTTGTGCCTGAGTTAACTTCAGATTCTGGAGAAAATAGTCCTTCCTGAAAAGGTTTAATCCTAAAATCTACAGGTGGGTAACCTGGGGATTCATTTGTGATTGTCATGGTGAAGTGTTTTTGCTAATTAATTTTGCTAATGAGGTGATAAACAAACTAAGGGAGTCCTCTCCTTTTTAACACTAGCTCAGATTTCATTAATAGTAGCTTGTCCGTGACAATTGCAGGTAAATCCCAGACAGTATTCATTACAAACAATAAATGCAAGGCATTGGGACACCAATTTCAGCCCAAAGCCTTAGATGATTCTTGTGATTGTCAAGCTGGATATTCAGTGAGCTGCAGCGTGAGCAGGGAAAGCCATACTTCCATGTTATGTAAACCCATCACATGGCTTTGGTGGGAATATGTGAAGAACAATGTCACTGGTGGCAAGAGAGACGGGAAGGAGAGCTGCTGTTAAGGAACTGGAAAATGTGAAATTCTGTGTGTGTTTAGGGACATGCATTCATGCACAAGTATGTGCTCTCTCTATATGCTAAATAGTTTTATAGTGTTAAGTGTGTTGCTTAAGTACCTCCTTACACTGGGGTGGAAAGAAACATGGCTAAGAAATCAAATTAAAAAAGGAATAATGAAAAGGAAGTATAAAAAGGAACCAAAAGAAAAAAGGAAGAAAACCATGTTTTTTTCACTAATTTACTTCAAGGACTGCTAATATAGCATATATATGTGTGTCTCTGTGTATATATAGATGTAGACAAGTGCATATGGTTAGATATTCAGAAAATCTGTCTGCAGGCAGAGCTTTTATCTTCATTATAGTTAAAAGAGGACCAAGTATATCTGCTTGAAAAAAGTCTTGTGTATGGTATTTCATCTGGCATCATCAGAAAAGGTGTTTTCCTAGCAGATCAGAAACAGTCTGTAGCTCACTGTAGCAATTCTGTTTGGAGTAAATGAGCTCTTAATTAGGTGAGGGCTGATTTCTTGGCTTTTGAGACTCTTTGAAACTCTCAGACGGCTCTTCACATTAAAAAAAAAGAGAGACTACTCTTTGTAAAACTTTCTAGCAAATGAGAACACAGTATATAGGAAAACAGGATTCAAAGCCACACATCATTGCAAAGGTAAATCAGACTCCATTTTGTACTTGATTAATTCCACTGAAACATTTGGAAAATACCAGCTAGTAAGATACAAGTAGTAACTTCTAGAGTACATGTATTTCATGAGCAAGTATATGACATCTTGGGCCTAGCCTAAAAATCATTCTCTGCTGTAGGAGGCATCACAAAACACATCAGCTTCTTTTTGAAGCTTCTTTTTATTCCTTGTCCACACAGCAATGGGAAAGCTGTTCCTTTGCTTCCTTCTTGTGATGGTTAGAAATTATATAATTTCCTTCATTAACCTCTTCATGGCCTTGCTATTGCTGTGGCCCTGGTATAGCCACCTACATAGGACACCAGCTCCAGCTATGTTTCTCAGCACACCCACCTGACAGAATGATCTCCAGTCCCCTGGCCCAAGTAACACAGACTGGCTGATATTCCAGGCAAGTCCTCTGTAGAGCAAAGGAGCAGATGAACCTAATCTACACCCTATAGTCCATATGGTTATGTCTAAAACATGACTGTTTTTATCTGTGGGGGTGGCTTGGTTCATCATATTTAAAAATGTGAGGACAGTGTTGCAGCCCACAGATTAGCGTTTCCATAGCATGAAATAGTAGATGTTGCATGCTCTGGGTTGTGGCATAAATGTGCTGAGAATGCTTCAGAGTTCCCACATTGTGTTTTGGTGGGAACTGGTTCATTTCTTCCCAAGGAGGTCCTGGAAGTAAATAAGCAGATGAGGAGGCAATGAGCACAAAAGAAGAAAGGAATGAACCAAGCTGTCCAATTGTATTGGTACCCATAGGCTTTAGCTTCAGCAGCATAATCTCCCTTGCTGGCTATCACCATCACTATTTCTTTGGAGAGAGCAATCACATTTCATCCTAGGCTGTGTTTTGCTAATCAAACAATCTTCCCTTTTCCCAGATCATTCCATTAACCCTTTTTTATGAACAGCTTTAATGTATCTTCTTGGAATGTGAATTGCTAAGGTTTTACAAAGTATTCCAGATAAAGGTTTTTATTGTAATTAGTAAAAAAAAAATAAATTATTTGCTTCAGAGGATGATCTAGATTAACATAACTGAAAATTGCATTTGTCTTTCTCATATTGGCCTTGCTTACCTAGTTCATTACAAGCGTATTCACAGTGTAAACATCTCAAACTCATGCACTTGTCTAGGCCTTTTTCATAATCAATAGAGAGAAATAAGTGATTCATCTCATTCTGAAGTAAAGGTCTGAAAAAGGTCAGATCAATAATGTCTGGAAGTGCTGGTTTGTCTCCTCTGCCTGCAAAAGCAGTCTGGGTTGAGTGGTGAGGGGAAATATGTCTATGCTGTAGACATCTGAAGTTAGGTCAGATAAATCCTTGATTGATCAATACTGAGATGATCACATTAGCTCAGACCTCAGGGTCAAAATAATAATTTCTATAATATAATAATAACAATTTTTATATTAGTAAATATACAATATATTATAATATTATATAAAATATATATTAATATATTATATATCATGTTATGTATACTATAGAATATTTTTATATTATTATATAATATATAATAATAATATTTTCTATATTTTTTCTACTGTGGTACTCCAGTTCTCTTTCATAATGATTGTGTCTCCCAGTTTTATGTCAGCACACAAACTGAATTTGTGGGTTCCTACATTTTGTGCTGTTTGTGAAAGCTTTCAGTTATTTGATTTCACACAAGCTTTTAAGAATCTTTAAGAATATTGTCCCTAAAGTACAAGTATCACCCTCAGTACAAACTCCTGCTGTTGCCTAGATGGCTCCATTTTTTCTTTTCTGTAGAATTTTAGATAGAACTCAGCTTCTCTGTTAACTAGAGGCCAGCGTAAAGAAGATTAAATGATTTGGCAATGTTTAGGTAGATGGGCTACATCAGCTGTATCTTAGCTTAAAACTGAATTTTCTTTTAAATAAAAGGTCAAGGAAGAAATGTGCTGTTAATTTAAAACGTATTTCTTGGCAATTGTTACTACATTTATGCAATTTTCAATATATTTCCATGAAAATTTATTATTTCCTTTTAATTCCATTATAAACAATGTACATTCCTGAGATC